AAAATAACATAAATAAATATTTATTTAGAGAATTTTTATAAAAAAAATAACATTAGTGATAAAAGAATTTTGTTGGTATTTATTATTTACAACTATGATAGCTTTGATCGCTTTGTCTGCGGTGCAAATATGTTAATGGCACAACAAGACGACTATCTTTACTTTTGTAATACTCATTGAAGTCTAATCGCACGCTTAATAATTGTAAAGAGACATCTTCCGCGGATGCAAGCATTATAAGAAATTTCTTCACTCTATCCTGCAAAAAAATAGTTGCTATGTATAATTATGTCGTACATTTTTGTCGTTACATTTTTACATTTTTACATGTCGTACAGAGACAAAATTGTGTAAAATACTTCGTACAATGTAAAAATTATAACAATGAAGTAATGTAGTTGATTTAGTTTCATTGAAAAGATGTAATAAAATATTTACAATTAACAATTTACATAACATGTTACCTGATATGTTCTTGAAAGTAGTCTAAGTTGAATTGAAAGTGTATTTAAATATTTCGAAAATCCAATTTGTCGTTTGGAGATTTCTGCATCACAGACTTCTGAAAAATCTAATCGACTTGATGGCTCAGAAGTTGCAAGTAAATTATTATCCTTTAATCGAGCTCCATATTCCTGTGTAGCACGAGTAAGAAAAGTTTCTTCAAGATTTTGTAAATCTAAGATTGGGCCATATACAGAACGTAGGTGATCCATAAGCTCCTATAGAAAATCATTTTTAGAAGTTACATACATATGTACAGTAGAATTCTGATAATCTGGTACGCTCGGGTTTTCGTCAATGCCGGTATTGCAGTAAATATGAGAAAAATAATTTTAAAAACGGCTATACTTAATACAGCAATGTCTTTTTAATGAAAATAAGTCAAAACACGACATAAATCAGACTAATCGTAACAGTAATCAGTTTTAAAAACTGGTGTTGACGAATGACATTCGTAGGGCACGGTCGTGGTCAGAGCTACGCGTGCCGGATTATCGGATGCCGGATTATTGGAATTCTACTGTAATAGGATAAAAGAATCTACATACAACAAATTATATAAACACATACGGAGTACAAGCACACTTGTGATTTAACTACTTACCTGTGAGTTTTCATCCAATAATGTACCACGCCTTACAGCATCTATGAAATGAGTATGTGCCGTGATTATATCATCTAATGATGCTGCTTGTCCCAACTGTTTTGCAAATGCATCCCAGGAACACTCAATTACCTTAAAATTCGATGGTACCATAATATCTTACAATAAATTACAATTACAAATAACATAAAATACAATAAAATCAATATTCTAAGAATACGTTTTCATTGAAGAAAAGTTATTTATACTTCTACAAGTAATAATCTAATAAGTTAAATATTATATGTATTTTCATTTGTACTAATGTATTACTAATTCATAATTTTTTATTTTACCTCAAATAAGAAAAAATATTGCATTTGATGAACCAAATGTACCATACTACTTGTAATTAAATGAATGTGTGTCTGAATTGGTAAAACTTCGGGCATTTTACGAAACATCTTTGCCGAAGTTATCTGACGTTTCCAAATTGCAGACAATATAGATTCCATTCTTTTTGCTCTCCATAAAGCAAAAAATACAGTTTGATATATTTGCCTACAGGGTTCTAAAATCTAAACAAATAAAATATTGTTTTGCTATTACAAAAAAGTATTCCAAAATCCAGAATGTTTGAAAATAATAAAATTGCATCACATGTTTTTAATCACGTATACAGTGTATCTCAGTTAACTGAGAACTATTAAATATTTCGTAAGAGAGCCAAAATATAAAAAATGGTTCCTATAAAATTTTTTTGATACAGAGGATACATTACATTGTGTATGTATAGGTAAGCTACCGGTTATGTGTTGATCCTGAGAATCACTGTACCTTCTGTGCCTTGATGTGCCCTACATTCGCTGATGTAGAAAAGTTTGGTCGGCAACAGGGATATTTTTAAATGTTAATAACACAAAGCGAAACTTCAAACGCAATTTTGATATTTTTAATTTTCGTTTTATTTTGTTTTGTAAAATCTCCCCTTAAATTTTTTACCAACTATTGCCAAACACCTTGTATACTTTTTTTAAAAATAAATACAACTACTTTTAAAACAAATAAATTATTTCCATATATACCGTTCCAATGGGACCTCCCACATTGTAATCAAGAATAAAAACATCCCATCCTCTTTCGTTTTCTGAAGGTGTTAATAACCTTACATCAAGCCGTCTGTGTACGTCTAAATCATCTACCTTTGCAGTAGTCGCTCTGATTCCCGTTTCCAGAATAGAAGATATGTTGTGTGGATATAACGAAGTGGCAGGTTTATCTAATTCTGGCCTAATATAGGTAAATAAACAAACAAAGAGCATTATAGAAACAAGAAATAAAATAAATATGTAGTATACAGAGTGTCCCAAAAAGACAATGGACAGTAAATTTTTAATACAGTATTTTAAATAATAACATTAATGGGACAATCTCAACAATGCATAGTACTATCATGAAGATCTACTGAAAAACATAAAAAGTTTAATTTTCAGTATTGGGTAACGCATTCAATGCGTTTATTTGCTCCAACCTAGCGTGCCGGTTGTTCACTGCATATATGCCGAGTTCACTCATATTGAGTCAGCAGAAAAATGATTTTTAAAAGAGATTAAAAAATTATAGTATTTACTCTAATAAATGCATAAGATGCTGAATGAAGTGTCCTTGTCCTAGTAACAAATAACCTTTGATTGCATGTAAATGCTCGATGAGGTGATATTGTTTTGTTAATACTTCAACTACTCTAGTTGATGTTTCTTTGTAAGCTGTATCCATCATTGTCTGCAACCGACCATCAGGATCCATATCGAAAAGAACGTCAACTGAAAAAGATATGTTTGGTAGAAGAACAAATAAATAAATAAAATATATGTATAACTTGATCCAGTTGCTGGAATCACCCTGTATACATATTCCTATTTTAATTAAAACTCGAATTATCGAATATAAATACCTTTGTATTCCTCACTGAAATTTTTAAACATTTCTGTATGTCTTCCTTGCCATGGGGTGAAATCTTTGCATACTTCACGTAAGAAGTTAATACTCTTTCCTGTCCCCAAAATCTTTTTTGCTTGTACCTTTGTAATAAAAGATGGTAACATGTTGTTGCGGACTTGATACTTCTCATGCCACATTCTATCTCCAGTAATATCAGCACAAGCCTCGATGAAAAATTCTCTATAAGGATCATCTAATTCACCATCTGCTATCCACCTTATCAACATATTATACAAAGGATCACAAACATTTTCCAAGATCCTTCTAACCAATTTTTTCACACTAGCATCACCATGATTACTAAATTCATACACTGCAGAAGCCAGTGCACCACCTTTTTGTCCTTGACAAGCTTTTACTATACTTGCCAGCCACTTTAAAGTTTCTAGAGGATCAAATGCCCAAAGATGCAAATGGGACAGTGTAACTCTGTATAATCCTGACTGAGACAGAACTCTATTAAATATTTAAATATATTATTATTTGCAATAAATTGTAAAATATTATGCATCTTTACATTAAATTTCAACTAATACCTATTTACTTCTTCTTGAATGAGTGCTATAAACCTGTAATACTCAGATAATTCAGAATGTAATGTTGCAACAAAACTATCAGCCACTTGACCACTTGAACTAGCTGACATTCTTTCTAAACCTTTTTGTATGATATTGTGTAAATATCCAAGTTCACTCAATCTCAAGGTTGCTTGTTTTCGTGGCCTATCAATGTTTATCATTGGGTCTATTTGAAAACCATAACTGGAATCTAATTTTAGTATCTTTCCTTCAATACCTTGAAAAGAATATATAAGATCTTGGACTAATGCATCCTCTGAAATGTACTCTTCACCATATATTTTGTTAGAACTTGCTAAAAAATCTATTGTATTTCTGTCTGTGTTACTTATAGGCACAATTTGTGGTGGTGCATAAATTTCTGATGATTGCCCTAGATAAGAAAAATGTTATATATTAAATATTTTACATTGCAACAACTTTAACAAAAAATAGAATAAAAAGGAACTAATTACAATATTAAAAATGTTACTTACCACTAGTGAATGCAGAAGATGCACATAAACCTAACTTTGAATCAGGTGCCAAAAAAACTTTTTCCTTTAAATGATCTGCTGACTGACACATGTTTAATAAAAATATAAGGATCCGTGCTCTGTTCTTTAGTGGCTAAACAACAGATGAATATGTATAAATGATAACTTGCAATATCTAACAAAAGAATTAATTATATACATTTTTTTTAATTTTATCAACATCATAAATATTAAATAATTTCATCTTTTCCCCAATTTAAAATTACAGTAAAACAAAACAATTCTTAACAGATCTATACACATAATAAATTAAGTAAATTAAAAAATGTTAGCAAATATGTTAAAAATCATGTTTATTTTTTAAATATGCACTTAATTTTTATCAGCAACATAAAATTTTTTTATATTAAATTTTCACCATACCCCAGATCTTAACTCATTAAACAGTTTGTCAAATTGTGCTGTATCACATATTGACAACTTCTCTTTTATTTGACTTGCCACAGTAATTTCATCTTCCTGTAATGTTTCTATTCCTTGAGTTGATGACAACAATCCCAGTGAGAAACGCATCCATTTTCTGATTATTTCTGAAATTATAATTACATATAAAATATATGATTTTTTAAAATAATATTATTTTTAATTAATAATAATATTAATATAAAATGCAATAATGATACATAAACATGTAAAATAACATACATAATAATGAAGGTTTACATATATATATATTTAAATAATGCCTGTAATAAATACTATGAATTTTTATACCCAAAGAAAACGTTTTTTCAGGTGGAGAAAAAACAGAAATTGCAACTTACCCGGTTTTTGTTCTCCACAAAGAGAAATAATCATTTTTTGTACGAGATTACCCACAGTTTCCGCCTCTATCATATTTGTATGTAATATTTTTTCCAACAATACTGAATATTGATTCACTCAAATACACTCTGTTTGTATATAACCTTATAATGTTCATTAACATTTATTCAAACTGTCAATAAATAATAACAAATTGACATTAGCAACTCATACAGCCAACTTACGCGCGCATATTTGTTTCGCTATAAAAGTATAAAAATTATGTTTTTAACATAATATGAGATGGTAACTATTGTGAGGTCCACGCTTAGCGACTGATGCGAACCAACCATGAATCTCATTCGAATCTCATTCTCAGAGACTTATTCTACTGCTAAAATAATTAAAAACAAACTAGAAACTTTATTTTACTGTCTACACCATTAATATTGTTAAATCCATTAAAAATTGATTATAAGTATCAATTAAACATAAAAAGGATGACGAGGATAGCAACAGCGAAAAGAGACAAGGGAACAAATAGGGGTAGCCAAGGATAGCAACTGTACCCTGTGTTAGACAAGGAAAGCAATAGGGATAGACAAGAACAGGAAAAAAAGTGGAGAACGAGACTAACGCCATCTCGCGTTTGGCTTCGCGAAGTAACGATTTATTAATAGGATAACAGAATATAAACAGAGGTATCAGACAAGGAAAGCACTAGTGTGCGACAAGGACAGAGAGAGAACGCTTCCTATTGGCTGAGGGCACCCAAGCTCGACCAACCACGGGCTAAACCAAGACGGTCCGTGAAAAATCATTAATAACTCATTAATTACGATGATTCTGTGAACTTTTAGAATTGAAGAATGAAGAGTGAACCTTCAGCAACTTTCCCATGTAGTCCTTAATGCTCTAAACCCTTTCAATAATTAGTTATTAATAATTTTAGCACGGGATGTCGGGAACGATACCGGATACCGCCAAGTATCTTTGCGGTTTTTCAATAATTTCGTAGCTTTCTACTAAATTCTCGAGCAAATAACTATATGCGACTGGAAGGCAACATCTTTAGCTACATTCTTCTATAAGTTTCATTAACATATTCAGTTTAGTTTAGGCGTTATTGAACATTATAAGGGACGGATCATTAATAACTCATTAATTACGATGATTCTGTGAACTTTTAGAATTGAAGAATGAAGAGTGAACCTTCAGCAACTTTCCCATGTAGTCCTTAATGCTCTAAACCCTTTCAATAATTAGTTATTAATAATTTTAGCACGGGATGTCGGGAACGATACCGGATACCGCCAAGTATCTTTGCGGTTTTTCAATAATTTTATAGCTTTCTGCTAAATTCGCATGTAAATAACTATACGCATCCGAAAGGCAACACCTTTAGCTACATTCCTTTGTAAGTTTCATTAACATATTCGCTTTAGTTTAGGAGTTATTAAACATTATAGGGGACAGTCTCCTATCTGTTATACGCGAGTGTAGTCAACTGTTATAAAAAATTGCGAATATCTATGAATCTATCTATGAATTGTGAACTTTTAGGATTGAAGAATGAAGAGTGAACCTTCAGTAACTTTCCCATATAGTTTTTAATGATCTAAACCCTTTCAATAATTAGTTATTAACAATTTTAGTACGTGATGTCGGGAACGATACCGCATACCGTCAACTATCTTTGCAGTTTTTCAATAATTTCGTAGCTTTCTACTAAATTCTCGTACAAATAACTATATGCGACTGGAAGGCAACATCTTTAGCTACATTCTTCTATAAGTTTCATTAACATATTCGGTTTAGTTTAGGCGTTATTGAACATTATAGGGGACGATCTCCTATCCATCGTACTCGAGCATAGTCAACTGTTATAAAAAATTGCGAATATCTATGAATCTATCTATGAATTGTGCACTTTTAGGATTAAAGAATGAAGAATGGATCTTCAGAAACTTTCACATGTAGTCTTTAATGCTCTAAACCCTTTCAATAATTAGTTATTAATAATTTTAGCACGTTATGTCGGGAACGATACCGGATACCGCCAAGTATCTTTGCGGTTTTTCAATAATTTCGTAGCTTTCTACTAAATTCTCGAGCAAATAACTATATGCGACTGGAAGGCAACATCTTTAGCTACATTCTTCTATAAGTTTCATTAACATATTCGGTTTAGTTTAGGCGTTATTGAACATTATAGGGGACAGTCTCCTATCCATCGTACTCGAGCATAGTCAACTGTTATAAATAATTGCGAATATCTATGAATCTATCTATGAATTGTGCACTTTTAGGATTAAAGAATGGAAAGTGGATCTTCAGAAACTTTCACATATAGTTTTTAGAGCGCTAGACCCCTTCAATAATTAGTTATTAATAATTTTAGTGCGTGATGTTGGGAACGATACCGGATACCGTCAAGTATCTTCGCGGTTTTTCAATAATTTCGTAGCTTTCTACTAAATTCTCGTGCAAATAACTATATGCGACTGGAAGGCAACATCTTTAGCTACATTCTTCTATAAGCTTCATTAACATATTCGGTTTAGTTTAGGAGTTATTAAACATTATATGAGAGTGATCCCTATACATCGTATATGAGTATAGTTAACTGTTTTCAACGATTGCTAATATCTAATAAACCACACAACTTAGAGCAACCAAACTGATTGCACAATATCTATAAAAGTCCATTCTACATACTCCATGCCTTAAAGTGCATAATTAGTTACGCATATCGACAGAAATAACGAAAATATGCTACGCTTCAATGCGACGACTGTAATACTCACCCAAAGAATGTTAAATAACTATCATACTATAAGGAATATGTTAATAAAAATTACAAAAAAAATGTAGCTACAGGTGTTGCCTTTCAGATACGTCTAGTTATTTGCACGAGAATTTAGTAGAAAGCTACGAAATTATTGAAAAACCGCAAAGATACTTGGCGGTATCCGGTATCGTTCCCGACATCCCGTGCTAAAATTATTAATAACTAATTATTGAAAGGGTTTAGAGCATTAAAAAGTATATGGGAAAGTTGCTGAAGGTTCACTCTTCATTCTTCAATTCTAAAAGTTCACAGAATCATCGTAATTAATGAGTTATTAATGATTTTTCACGGACCGTCTTGGTTTAGCCCGTGGTTGGTCGAGCTTGGGCGCCCTCAGCCAATAGGAAGCGTTCTCTCTCTGTCCTTGTCGCACACTAGTGCTTTCCTTGTCTGATACCTCTGTTTATATTCTGTTATCCTATTAATAAATCGTTACTTCGCGAAGCCAAACGCGAGATGGCGTTAGTCTCGTTCTCCACTTTTTTTCCTGTCCTTGTCTATCCCTATTGCTTTCCTTGTCTAACACATAGTACTAATGTTATCCTTATCTACCCCTATTTCTTTCCTTGTCTAACACGCGGTACTGTTGCTATCCTTGTTTACCGCTATTCCTTTCCTTGTCTTACTCATGTAACATCGAGAGAATCATTTAGAAATGAAATATTATCAGGTTATTTGATTTTTAAAATAGAAATTTTTCATACTATTTGTTTTTAATAATAGTTATTGTAAATTAGAGCATAAATGCATGTAGTAAACAGTTTAAAATTGATACTTGTGGTAAATAAGTAGAAGTTATAAATAAGTGGAAGAAGTAAATAGACTGTAAAATGCTGTAAAACAGTACTGGTATATTGTATCCTTTTGTAATATACATTTTATAAAATAATTTTACAATAAATAATTAATTTATTATCAAATAATTGCATTTCTTCGTTTTCCCTGATGTTTAAGTCCTTACCTTGATTTCTCCGATGTCCTGGAACGTCTACCTGTATTTCATACGAAAAGAACATTAATTTTTTTAATTTTAATAAAAGTTATAAACAATTTCTGACTAATCTACTGAATACAACGGTTAATTCAATGCAGAAGTAGTATATGATGCTGTTTTATTAAGTTAAAGCATACAATAATTTTATTTAAGACTTACAATAATTATAAACAACCATGTAAATTGTTATTTGACAGGAAACATTAATTATTCTATAATTAAAGTATTTGAAAGTATCCTTATCTACTTCTATCCCGTTCCTTGTCTTACTCATTTCTGTGTTGCTAAATACCTGAACGAGTTATCCTTCGTGGTAAGCACGACTACTGATGGTACATGACCATCTTCCAATGAGAATTACACCAAAATTAATCGAAATAGAAATTATTTCAATTAATAAATTAAAATCGAAAATAAATAAAAAGAAATAATAAATAATATGAATTTCCTATAACTTAGAATTACAGACGAGATGCAGGATAGACATAACACTTAATGTATTTTTATCTCGAACGTTCTGAAATACCGATCGTGTAAAAAATCAGAGTATTTGTTATGCTCTCTACGTATAAAGCGGTAAGTATAGGAATTATATACGATTCAACCAGTAAAGATAGTAAATTCGACAGATGTAAAAAATCCTCTTTTGTTAAATCTGTATATAAAAATACATACATAAATATCTACATTGGATTGCGTGGGCAGAACTGTTCACAACCTTTTGACATCAGTAGTACATGCGCATTTGATGAATCATCTACTAATAAATAATTACGTTACTTTCTTATTTGTAATTTCATATTGACATTTAATTCTGATTTCAACCGCTACTAATGTAATTTTATTCTACGCTGAATCGATAACGTTGGGAACAACACGAAAATGGTAAGGGTCTGGGTCTTCTCGGTCCCAGGACCACGAACACAATGTCCCATAAAATGTTAGGTGCACCCTGTACTTACCTCGTCTGTGGTTTTATCCACACAATCCAAAATACGTACTACATACTTATTTATTTACTGATTCAGGCAGGCCTTAAAATCTAGAAGTGGGAGATGTAAGTACATAGAAGAAATTCTGACGTCTCACTGTTAATCAGCCAATAACGATAGAGTAATGCTATCGCACTTACTCTTACCTCTTCGCTGATAACCAATCACGATAGGATAAGGCTATCCTACTTATTTTTCTATAAACGATAGGCGACGCTCGAGCTTCGCGCGATTAAATAATCGATTTAAACCAGAGTAATAATTTTGAGCACTCCATGAGTAATCCACCAGTAGTAATTTTTACAATCTTAGTCCTATCTT